GCCTGAGGCTGTTAGTGCTGTGATTTGGAGCAGTTAAAACTGTGGGATGTATTCCATAACACCCATTGCAAACTGGAAAAAGCCAGAGAAATGAAGCTCACACACGCACAGCAGTTTTCCAAATTGTGATTTGCAGTTTTGTGTTCTGTTTGCGGACCTTCCCTATTTTATGGAGCAGATGTACAAAAATGACATTGCTGTTGTGTACAGGGAGACTGAGCTCTCTCGGGCAGCACCTTGTGCTGATTGATGGAGGATGCATTTCTGCCTAATCTAAATTGCTGCATTGCTGCTGAAAGTAGACCTGCCACTGGCAGCAGCACTGCAATGGAAATACATCAGTAAACATTCAGATCTGGCTTTCACTATGGTTTATTATTCCCTGTACATTTAAGCCTTTGTTTTTGAGTTAGAGCAAGCGTATCAAGCATGACCCTTACATCAGTAATAACAGTGTTATTACTAGAAGAAAATGTAGGCATATATGATAGAGGCAATGAGGAGAACAAATGTGTATAAGCCTCAAGGGTCAGATATAGGCCTATGAGAGAGGTTTACAGTTTCCATGGACACGATTGGTACGAGTTAAAGAGACCACCACCGTCTCCAGCTGGTTTGCTCAAAGTTATGAAAAATGACAGCAATCATCCATTTACAGGCTTGGTAGTCATTGCTCATTTTTCATATGTTGGACTATCAACCGATGTCAATCCATATTCAAGCAGTGACTGATGGCCTGCTCTGGAGAGCTGACACATTCATCCAATTTCCCATCGTGTTGGTTGTGAACAGCCACATGTGTATTGAGGTGTAGGTGCCAGCAACCAATTTGATATCAATGCATTAATTATAAAGGAAGTTGCAGGTGACAGCTAGAAAATAATGATCCAAGTGAATTTTCGCCCACAAATTATATAGTCAATTCACTTCACAGTATATTCTGTGAAGCACTTTGAGACTTCTCAAAGACATGATAAGGCGCTATATCAAATGAAAGGTTTATTATTATAATGTGTTGTGCCTGAAATTAAGCACAACTCCTTCTCCTTAGTCAAGTTGTGTGTCTGCCTGGTTTGTTTGAATTAGAACCAACTGTAACGTTGCTTTTGGGGGATTGCGGCTGTAGTCTCCGAACCATAACTCAACATCCAACAGAACAAAGATACGAGTCATGTAAATTTGTGGTACGATCACTGATGAAGCAAATACTCATTCTTATACAGTGGTTTTGTTACCTAGATCATTTCATGGAGTGCTTTGCAGTCCAAGGCATCTAGAGTATTAAATATTCTTCATTGTGGACTACATGCTGTATCGTTGTGTTGGTTATTTTCTCCTCCCTAAGCCAAGGTGAACAGAAGCTAATTTAGTCTTACAACTTCTAAGCACAAGCCAGATTTGAGCTATCCGGTTTACAAGGCTGAATGCTACATTTTGTTCCTTTTACCTACTATGAAGTCCAAAATATTTGTATATGTACTGCAGTTTTACCTAAACTACCAAATGACTTCAAATACAAAAACTGAATAGGTAAAAGAAGTGGCCAATAGGACACTAAAATTCAAATACTAATAACGTTTTATAATCTATGCTTTTCTATTTCATTCAAGGTGTTGAAAGTTGAATAGTTTAAAAATATTCAGTGTGTCTAGTTTTTTTTTAAAAAATCGTATTCATAAATATTCCTGAAGTCAATCAAAATCAAAATTACGAGTGTTTTGGGATTTCTAATACAAGCCTAGAATATGGTCTCATGCTATGTTTGTAAACGCAGAAAGCAAAATGATATCTCTTTTAATAGTCTCAGCAGTGGGATTCCAGTGTCCTGTCGCTCAGTGGTTAGAGCACTCGCTTTGCAAGCGAGAGACCTGAGTTCAATTCCAGGCAGAGGGCGAAACCTTGGGCAAGTTTCCTTACTCCACACAGAGCCTAATAATAATCCCTCCAAAAAACCCAAAACAATAATAAATTGGTCATTTTCAATTCATGACTGTTTGTGGGACATTGCTGTGCGCAATTGCCTCCACGTTCGCCCACAAATATACAGTCAATTCACTTTACAGTATATTCTGTGAAGCGCTTTGGGACGTCTAGAAGACGTGAAAAGCGCTATATCAAATGCAAGCATTATTATTATTATTATTATTATTATTGACTTTCTAATCAATCTGCTCAGCCCAGAATTATATTGCACTTTTCAAGATGAATCACTAAGGAAAGTGTAGCATGTACACAGCAAAAATGTTCATAATAATGTGAAGTAAACTATTAACACGTTTCATACACTAATGTGTGGAAAATCACAGACCTAAGAAGGAAATGTACCTTCTGATAAAGCATTAAAAAAACAGGAGTTCCTACAACTTTTTGTGTGTGTGAAAGTCTCAAAGCAATTCACAGAAAATGTTATCAAATGCAACGTTTTAATAAGTAAAAGTAACAGCCATTGCACCAGTAAATTCCCACAAACAGTCATGAAGTGAATGATCAATTAATCTGGAAAACTGTTGGCCAGGACACTGGGAGAAATTCACATCTCTTCTTGAAATAGCATATTGTCCAGCTGAAAACAGGCAGATCAAACTTTGGTTTAAGCACCTCATTCAAAACATAACCTAATTCAGTAAAACTCACATAAATCTTATCTTTATAAATTGTAAAATTGTCTATCCAGCAAAGTCCCAACATCAACAGCAACAACAACTTGCATTTATATAGCACCCTTCATGTGGGGGTAGTGTTTTTCTTAAAATTCATTTAAAGTTTGGAATGGTGAGAAATGGAGGAATGTAATGAATGTGATAGACTGCAAAGATGACTTGAGCATACTTGGAAATTGGGTTGATCGATGGCAGATGAAATTCAATGTAGAGAAATGTCAGTGCTTTACATGAGGACAAAAAATTCAGGAAGAGACTTTTAATTAAATGGGAAGAAAATAATCTGTACAGAGACTGAAAAGGACCTGGGGATCCTGATTGACAATAAATTGAAGCTATCGCAACAGTGCTCAGTAGCAGTGAATAAGGCAAACCAGATGCTGAGTTTTATTAAAAGGGCAAATTGAGCCAAAATAGTGGGGTGATCCTGTCACTTTATAAATCACTGGTGCGACTGCACTTGGAATACTGTGTGCAATTCTGGTCACCCCCATATAAAAACAATATTGCAGTGATTGAGAGGATACAGAGGAGGGCAACCAAAATAATAGAGGGGATGGAGGGACTGAACTACGAGGAGCGATTAGATAAACTGTACATATTCCACTGGAGAAGAGAAGGTTGAGGGGTGATATGATTACGGTCTTTAAGATTCTGAAGGGATTAGATAATTAGACCATGATAAGCTGTTTTATCTTGTACTGAACAGTAGAACCAGAAGACACCGCCTGCGATTGAAGAGGGTTAAATTTAGAACAAATCTGTGGAGACACTACTTCAGTGAGCGAGAGTGAATGTATGGAACAGGCTCCCGAGGGAGATGGTGGAAGCAGAAAGGGCTGTTTGTTTCAAGTACAAATTGGATAGATTTCTGCTAGAAAATAATATCTTTGGATATAATACATAGTTTGGGTCATGACATGTCAAGTGACTGCCAGGATGGTAGAAGGCGAACTTTCCTCTCGCAATTTCTTATGTTCCTGTTAAATATGGCATTTGCTTGCAAATCTAAGCTCTGGCATGAAATTACTCTTTAGCCCTTGCATACAGGATCACACTTCCACAGAAATGAATGATGAAGACAACAGCTTTTCTTAAGAAAACTGCACCTGAATACATACATATTCAGTATAGCCTTAAGCAAGCCAGACTGCATCTCTTTGCAAACTTATCAATCTACTCTACGGAATAGGAAGTCATATTTGAGGTGAAAACACATTCTGTTTAAATAACAAATAATATAGGCAATTATTATATCAGACCCTTCTGTTAAGCAGGAATAAAGCTTCAAAAGCATTTTGAGTCCATACATATTAAATCGTTCACAGTCATTTTTAATTGCAATGAAAGCTATTTTCACCAGCGTTTTACAATTCCAAAATTAATTTAAAGATACTATTTAACATTTTTCTAAACAATTTGTAGCTTGGATATTTGCCAGTAATAAAATAATTGAAATGTAGGGCTCAGACAACTGCTAAAGTGCTTGCAAAATAGGCAATCTGGTTAACAAAAACCCATAATAGAGTTTGAAACAAATAATATTTCCAATTTGTAAGAAAACATCAGTTTGCTTACAACGGTAGTCCTTGATGCTTACATGCATTAAATTTAGCTTTCTGCTTGCGCTTACTGAATCTGGTTTCCATCAATCAGAAGACCTATCAAAACTGACATTACTGCCCATATTGGTCTAAGTTATGATGACTAACGTGTTTGACTAAATGCTCATATTTTACATAAGAATTAAGAAAGTGTGGAATGAGAGAAAGCAACTTTGACGTACATTGTAACCCCTTAATCTCCTGAGAGAACATCAGCAATAATACCCCTTGACCCCAAAGGTTAAGGACAGCTCTAGATATAACTATCTGCACATCCTGACCATTCACCCTGTCCTGCTGCTCTTCACAGACAACAAGAATCCCACCCAGTAGCATGGGAATCCAGTAGATTAACTGATCATTACAGTCTAAATTTACCCCTAAACCTTCAATTATATTTCCAAACAAGTACACTGAATAGCATAGAATGATAAGGCACGGAAACTGGCCATTCGTCAAAATTAGTCATTGTCGGTGTTTATATGACACACAAGCCCCCCCACTCTTCCTGTACCCCTCACCTATACCACTCTATTCACTTATCCCTCATTTATGCATCAAGTTTCCTATTAGATATATTGATGCTATTTACTTTGATATTCAATTCAATATTTAATGTATTTAATTCATCAAAGATAAAAAAATGTTGGCACCAACCAATTTGCAAAACGGCAATATTGTTCCTTTCAGTTATTTCTCAAGGGATTTTAAAGGAAAAAGTCATCATCAAACCTACCTCCTTTTCAATGTTTAATCCTTCAGCTCTCAGGTTTCTTTCAAACACCTCCCGTTTCTCTGTTTGTGCATTGGATTTTCTGTAAACAAGTATGTAATCAATTCGGCATCGCCCATCCCTAAGGAAGAGCCCATTTCCTTTATTTCGGTCCACGCTATCCTGCATAGAAATAGGACAGGGATATATTAGTTTGCTAATTCTTTACATTGGTTTTAAGAAAGCCTGATATAAGGAAAGACTGCATGACCATTTCCTCCACAGCCCCGGCACAATCCACCCCATCGTAGATTCTCCAACCCGTTTAATCTTCTAAATCAAATTCTGGGTAAATATTCTTATCCTTGATAATCAAATAAATCTCCTGAATATCTAGCACATAACTATTCTTTACTTCCCTGTCCCAGAAAGACAGGAACCATTGTTATAAATGCAGCATTTAATTACCTCGGGCTATATCTATCCTTAGAATCCTACAGATTGTTCTCAAACAGATATTTTCCCAGCTCTTTTCTGAAGAAGTCAGATTAAAGCCTCATTTGAAACACTTGCATATCAGATCTGGTGCCAAGTTGTAATTTTTAGCTTTGCATATATCACACACCCTAAACACCCTCAAAGCTTGAAAAATATTTTTTTCAGACATGAATTCAGGTTATTCGTGATAATGTTTTAGTTTATGGTTACGTGGGGCATTATCGCTGCTTCAATGTTGTTTCAGAGCAACACCTTATACTTGGAAAATGTATCTTATTATCTTATTCTCATTTTGGGTTGCAATTATTCTCTTTGCTTTCACTTTCCCTTGCTTCCATCTAATCAAACCCACTGAATGCTCTGAATTCCAAGTTCAGAAATGTTAGCAAGTTAGATTACATGGATGTCAGGTAGACAGTCTGTGAATAAATATCTGTATCAGAAAAATCATGTAAATGCCTTTCTGAATAAACAACTATTGAATGTTTTTTCCTCGTACATTTGTTTACATATTTCATTTCCTAAAATTTCTGGAAAATGAATCCTACCCAAAATATATCTTTATATGAAAGCTTACATATTCCTGAATAAAGTATTGTTATGCCAAGTTTACCAGGATTCTGCTCTGACAATGCAGTGTGAAGTAAAACACAGAACCTCTCACCCTTCACTTGCTTTCTGCCTACTTGCCTCATCTGAAGTGCTTGTCAAATTGCCAGGATGAAGTAAAGAGTCATCATCTTTGGAAGGGCTGTTCCTGCATTCAGATTCATCCAAGAAAATATTTATATCTTTAGCCACTGAAATGGAAGGTAAAACAGCAGTCACACTCTCAAGCGCGCCATACAATGCAGAAGAAGAGCTGTCAGTTGTTTACAGAGATTGGGCGAAAACAAAAGGTGTAAAATCAAACAAACTAAAATACATTGAACAATATCTGTGAGAATCAAACCGTGTAATTCGAACACTTCTGCTATTTAACCATCATGATAAAATATAGAATCATAAAGCCATAGAAGTTTGCAGCACGGAAGGCCATTCGGCCAATTGTGTCTGTGCTCTTTAAAAGAACAATCCTTTCAGTCCCATTTACCTGTATATTTACCCCATATACCAAGACTGAGGTGTATAGATATTTCTTAGGTCAGAGTATCAAGGGAGATGGGGCAAGCCGGGTAATTGGAGTTGAGGTACAGATCAGCCATGATTTTATAGCATAGTGGAACAGGCTCGAGGGGCTGAATGGCCTACTCCTGTTTCTATGTGTCTACGTTTCTATACGGCCCACAAAGACTATGACGGGAAAATGAATTAAATTGTAGTGAGTTCAATAACAATTGATTTTATCTTACCCGTGCCTCATCAATTCGATTTTATTCACTTTTTTTTTCTAATGGGTATTTCTCTCAAACTAGCAAGCCTTAGAATCGATGCCTAAAGTTACATATCAAAATACATAGAAACAACCTTGCAGTGCAATACCTATTTCCTCCTTCCGAACCAATTTTGACACCTTACTATAGTTTTTCTTCTTCGCTTCCCAAAAAGGTAATTCCTTCTTAATTAATTCCTCAATTAAGAGAGCAAGATAGTAGTCTGTATAATCTTTATAAATGACATCAATGCTACTCCTCTGCCAAGCATTTTTGCAATTGTTCTAAGGGCATTGTTTTTCTCACACCAGTGCCTAAGTCTGTCCATACCATACATAATAATAATAATAATCCTTGCATTTGATATAGCACTTTTCACGTCAGGAGGACGTCCCAAAGCGCTTCACAGAATATACTGTAAAGTGAATTGACTGTATATTTGTGGGCGAACGCGGCAGCCAATTGCGCACAGCAGTGTCCCACAAACAGTCGTGGATTGAAAATGACCAATTTATTATTGTTTTTGTTTTTTGGAGGGATTATTATTGCCCTAGCTGAGATAGCAAGCAAGCAGTCACACAACGTGCTTCTTGTGCTCTGCCAATGCAATTTTGTCGCTGCCTGCTAGGAGATACATAAGAGCAGGCTGATTGATTCTCCTCAAAATTAACCTCCCTCTGTGGGAAGAGTCTCATTCGGCTTGTTGCATCCTCCACCAAGTTATGATTGGGGTCTCAGCGTATGTAATTGTGGGTATGAGTTTTGCATTGTCCCACCGCATTCCCTACAGAGCATCTGACTGTAAGAATTTGCGTACAGAACTTTCACACAATACAGTATTTCACACAATGAATCAACCCCACCTTTTTGAGTGCTCCTTGTAAATGTTAATGGGCACTTGAACATTGAAAGTCACGCAGCAAAGATAATCTACACAGTTGCCAATGAAGTCAGTGAAAAATAATTATTTCGAAATGAGTCAAAATTCACTGCAACACCCACAAAAATGTCCTTTGACAATATCTGGTTGACAGTATAATTACATTTTCTGCATCTCATTATGAATATGAAAGAGCATATTATTAATAAAGGGGCATTGTGATAAGACACTATATCAAGTGTAAGGATTATTATTATTATTATTATTATTGATCTTTACAAAATTAAAGCTGAACAAAACGTTCTCTCTTTCTCATCCTCAAGCCAGTAGAGGACAATCTTTTTGTTTGGCAAGAAAGTAATCATAGAGATAATAAAACAGCACAGATTTATGCCATAAATCAAGAAATATTCAATCAACAAAGCTTTATTTTGGTGGACAACCAAAAAGGTTGGACACCACTGTTCTAAGCATTGATTTTTTTTCTCGTCTCACTTCAAAAACATCTTCTACTTGAACTCCAAGCTTTAAAGGTCTACTTATCTGAACCCCTATGTATCTGTACCTTAACATGATTAAAATCAATATTACAAAAGGGTATATATATTGAATAATTTTTTACCAAAACACACTACTTTACATTTTTAAATATTAAGCTGCATTTGCTCACTCTGTTATTGCAGTGTTAGACTAGTTATTCACTGTAAAATCCTGGGGAGAAATATACTAAACTATTTTGAAAGACGGACTGTCAGACATCAAGGCTGGATGTGCCTTAATATGTAATAACTGAATGTCACCAAAACCCATCCGTATTTCCTCACCTCTGACTCTAACCTCTCTGGTTGCTCACTCCAGCTCACAGTACCAGCAAGCAATCCCAGTATTTTGTTCAACCTTCACCTCTCCTTTAAACTTTTCATCTGGTCCTTGATCAAGTCTGCCTTCCTCCAATTATTAAACAGTTTCCAAATTGGTGCTATGTTAAATTTTTAAAGGTATGGCATATACATAACAGAATCCAGTTATGGATCATATTATATATCTTATATATACACACACAATATGTGGACCAGTGCAATATGATAATAATTCTTGCCTTTGATAAAACGCCTTATCACATCATTGAGACATCTCAGAGTGCTTCACAGATTATACTGTAAAGTGGATTGACTGTATTTTCTAATATACTTTAGACTGACATCTAATCACATTCTGACTATCTGGATGTTCTGGTTATCAGTATAGTTGGGTTGCAAAATTGACAGAACTTTTAGTTGTCAGGTTGCCAGATTTACCATTTGTACCATTTCTGAAACTGCAGTACAGGCTACTGATCAGAGGGTTAGGGAGAGACATACATATTACAAATAGTTAGAAAGGCAGAGAGAGAGAGTGAAAAAGAGAGACACAACCACCCACACCCGATACCTGTACTATTATCATATCCACAATGGGGCCAGTCCAACAGTGAGGATATTGGGATTCCTACCGTATCAGTAACAAGGTTATGTGACTTCGATGACAACAAAACAAAACATGGAATAAGAAAAGGCCCATCACAATCACAATCAGTCAAGCAGACCCATAACCTATCATTGACTTCAGCTCAATCACATTTGTTTCTGGGGAAAGTTGTATAGATACTCCATGAATCTCATTGGTAATTCACTACAAACTACAGAGCATTATTAGGATTATTATTACCCTTGAGGCAGGACAATACATCTTTAAAAGCATGCAAACTGTTTCTTTACATTTAAGAATTTGGTGTAAGGTGAATTATTTCCAACTTTATTTTGTTTTGAAAAAGCACTGAGCTGGCAGCCTGCCACTTATGTCAAAAAGATTTAACACAGAGCTCCTGGCCCAGAGGGACAAGAGTACGACAGGCAATTAAAATATTTAATTTAAAATATGAGGAAGAAATTGGCCTCGTTTAATAATCTTTCATTTGTTGATGTCATTTATTTTTGTTATCAGACTCAAAATGCTAAGATACTTACTTTATTCTGACGATGCGATAAACTGCACAAGGGTATATAACCTACTTCTGCAACATATCTCCTGAGATTTGAATTATGTTATTTCTAACCAATGTGTCTGGAGAACAACAATTGAAAATCGCTTTCAGTATTCTGTTTGTACCACTGTCGGGTGTTATCTCAACATAGCAGCAATCGATTCACAAGTGTAAAATTATGCCGATGATATTCAAAATGCAGATTTAAACGCAATTATACTGAGCTACATGTCTTCCAGTGGTGCAGTGCAGTCTTTTGCACTGCACCAGCTAAACAAATGGAGTACAGGAATATTCAGCATCAGAAAAGACCACTGGAAAAGCTCCAAATGATCAGTGCAATCCTGTCAATCTCACTGTAACTATTAACTGCAAGACCACTTGACACAGGTCGTTCTGCCCTATTAGTCATGCTTATTAGCTACTGTGGGATCTAAAATGTAGGATTCATAAAACAGATATTTATGCAGTGACTAAGAGTTCCAGTTTGCAAATAAAAATGTATGATTTGCAATCAAATTCACTAAAACTCAACAATTTGCAAATAAGTTTTGCTTTCCTATCATTTATCAGACTTTTCGGTCATTTTCTTATTTGAGAAAGGCTCCAAATACAAAACACTGTCATTTTACCTTCAGGACTTTTCTCAACTGATAAAAGCTCCAAGTCTGATAAAAAGTCAGAAAGCAAAACTCCAGGTAGAAAATGATTTTTGCTGGCATTTGGGATTGCGTTCGGTTGGAAATGGTTTGGAAAAGATTGTTAGCAAAACTACCCAACTTTATCTCAACCACCAGCTCAGGTCCAAATCCCTGACTGTCCAGGGCCTTGGAACATCCTCCCGAAGTGCAAGATACTATGCAAATGTAATTTGTTATTGCTGTTGTTGTTGAAGCAGCTTTGCTCCTTGCAGTTTAACTGTAGAATTACAATACAATACATTTCACATTCATACAGCGCTTTTCACATCGGGAGGATGTCTCAAAGAGCTTATATTAGTGAACAGAGCAGAATGCCCTCTGATTTAATGAATGCTTCCTGATATGAATACTTCCTGATATGGAGGGGGGTCTTCTGTACAATAACATTGGCAGATACTTTTAAACTGGTGCGCTTTTGCAGTCAATTTATTTTGCTATATTCGCACAGGGCTAAACTCCTTGCGAATCTAAATTTCCTTCAGATTATCCAATTTACAAACCTCCACCATCTGACCTCTTTCTATGATTTATTTCAAATCAATTATGAGAAACTATGATGGATTGAAATTGATTGGCAACATTGAAACATTTAGCCTTTATCTATTTCAGGGAGATTAAATACAGTTAAATTGAGTAGACTTCCCAGATTATTGCTTCTGTTTCAATATTCTCCTTACCACTGATTTAATAATAATAATAATCCTTGCATTTGATATAGCGCTTTTCACGTCGGGAGGACGTCCCAAAGCGCTTCACAGAACACACTGTAAAGTGAATTGACTGTATATTTGTGGGCGAACGCGGCAGCCAATTGCGCACAGCAATGTCCCACAAACAGTCGTAGATTGAAAATGACCAATTTGTTATTGTTTTTGGTTTTGGAGGGATTATTATTAGGCTCTGTGTGGAGTAAGGAAACTTGCCCAAGTTTCACCCTCTGCCTGGAATTGAACTCAGGTCTCTCGCTTGCAAAGCGAGTGCTCTAACCACTGAGCTACAGGACTCCACATTTAAGTTACTCTACAGCAATAACAAACCCAGGTTGGCCTGCACACAGAGACTGTGATCTTGAAAGATGAATGCAGACTGGTTTCTTCAATTGATAGTATTCCCACCCGTCTCTATCCCCTTTCGGCGTTCAACCTGCCTACAAATAAAATTGGCCAATCACTTCAAGGTTGTTTGTCAAACTATGTATAAATTAGCTACTGCGTTTACCTACAAAATACGCAGTCATTACACTTTACAGTATATCCTGTGAAGTGCTTTAAGGCATCCTCCCGACATGAAAGGCTCTGTATCAAATGTAAGGATTATGATTGTTATTATTATCCATTTGTTTACTGTCAGGCTTTTGATCTAGATTCAAATCTAGATTGAATTCCTGCCTTAAAGTGCATGGATTTCGACATATAAGTGCTTTAATCAGCGTTTGTAACAAAAAAGTGAGACGTGGCAGATTTCAATGTTGAGGATAAGCAGTTTGGCTGATGTAGTAAATGTGATGCATTCCTTGCTCTGACTAGCTGTACCTTTTACAGCAGTTTTCTGTCATGGGAGTGGGAGGAGAAAATCTTGTGAGATACGTTTATAAGCCTCACGTCATTAATCACAGAAAATTTTATTACTTTAGCAATCCTTGTTAAAGACCTCTTCGCAGCATTAGCACAACCCGTACAAGTTCAAAACAGTCACATTATAATGTTCATTTGTAGTAGAAAGAGCATTTATTTTAAATCTTTGCATTATTAAATGTTTCCCAGGAAAACTCCTGAGAGAATACATCATCAAAACATATTCTACAGCTTAAATACCCAGATTCTGAAATCTCAAAAAAAGATCTATTTATATACTGAACCTATTTCACAGGTACATCAAATCACCACCTTACATGAATTACAACTGGAAGCAAGAATAGAAGAAAAAGCTAACTTAAACACTCATCCATCGTACTTTCCAGATGAAGAAGGACTGTATCTTCTACCTTGTGTAGCTTTGATGCTATTATTCATTTTATATAGTCTCTTAATGCTTTGAGTATTGCCAGCAAAGGCAGCCAAACCTTATAAAAAAATTCCAGTCTGCTGAAGTGAGTACATCAATCAAATGAATGACAAAAGAAAAAAACAATTTGTTCCCACATCAACTGCTCCCCCCCCTTTCTGCGGTATTTATGAGAGTACCAGTAAAGTATGATTGTTTCCTTGTTGCTCTAGAAGTGAAATCTATAATTTTTTTTACTCCCAGTATCTATCTGTTAGTGATAGGTTGCTGTGTTTCGCCCACAAAAATCTACAGTCAATTTACTTTCCAGTATATTGTGTGAAGCGCTTTGAGACGTCTCGAAGATGTGATAAGGCGCTATATGAAATGCAAGGATTATTATTATTATCTATTAAGAAGTTGGGTATTTGTGAGAGCTGTTTGATCTGCGTAGCTTGAAAGGAGTCAAATCCCTCCATGATGTTGCCACATCCTATTTATACAAATTTCTCCAGCCATGCATCCTAGCTCATACTCACCACTTTTCTGATTCTTGTTTATCACTCACCCAACCCCCAGCACTCTTCACTCGAGCATTGATAGCTCAGCCTTCAGCCACTTTGCCCCTATCTTCTTGAACTCTCTTTTAAAACCATTTTGTCTCATTATCTCTGTGTTCAAAAGCCTCCTAAAAGCATCTCTCTTCAATTATGCCATTAGTGAATATTTTTAGAATCATAGAAATGCAGCATAGAAGGTCATTTAGCTCATCAAATCTAAATTCCTGGTAGCTTAACTACTCTCGTCTCAATTTCCTGCTTCTTCCCCATGCTCTTTGATGTTCCTTCTCTTCAGGGGGAGAAATTCCAGTTGGCTTTAGACTTAGACTTTTTTCTAAGCATTTCAAAAGTCAGACTGAATTATGAAGCCAGTTTAAATGAACCTAAAGAAAGAAAAAAACAGCTTCAAAATGAACACTCGAATTTAAGAATTGTCAAAAAAGTTGCATTCTCTAAATGCTAAGAAAAAGGTCTTACGCCTAGACCCAAGTGAAATTTCTCCTGGATTCTTATTCAGTATCTCATTTCCCTGCTTGGCATACAACACTACATTTAGCAAGTACTTTTGAGGCACTCTGTTAAGTGAGAGGTGCTACATCAATACATCACGCTGTGTGCAGAAGAGCCCAGTTGGTTAACACCCTACACAATATCATGAGTAAAGTGGGCAAAGCAATTCTACATAACGTTGTTACACATTGGAGTCGAAAATGAAATATTTGCAGATCAGATTTGTTTCATTACTGGTATCTACCAATCTATCAATATTGGATTGTTAAATTCACATCTAGCAAATCCCAAGTCCTGAATTGGCAAATTGGAGTATATTCGAACTTTTGTGCGTAGGATTTGTAATTCTGTTGCTGCAAATTTTGCAAACCAGAAGAGATGTTTAAATCAACAACTCCAGTTTGAATCCTGCATCTTAGACTCTGAGTCAGTTGGAGAGAGAATCTGTAATATCACATCCAAATTTTGGGATAAAATGTTCAGAGGGAAAAGAAAAACATGGAACAGACACAATTCAAATTCAGGAGCCTGTTATCACGAACCTGCATAATTGTTTCTCCCATTCCCGACAGCCGAATCAATGGATCCCGAAGATGTGCAATCCATTGTTATTGACTTGGTGACAGGTGGGAGTGAGGAATGCTTGGGGGCAGACATGTGTTCAGATTTTTGATAGCTGTTTGCACTTCTCCTGTGATGTATCTGAATGTAGTTTTCAGCCCCATGAATAGCTAAACTCATACCTGGAATAGAAAACAAAAGCACATGGTTTTGATGTGTTCGGTTTGATGACAGAAATAATATCCGATCGCTAATAATAGTGATGTCAGCAGCACTTCCTATGCATAACGCACTTGAACAGTGTGCAGGAAGTGACTAATCCACAAACAATCTCATGCTATAACAAGACACATCACAACTCGGTTGTCCTGTGGTGAAACACATAAAAACAAACTAAAAGAAATATGTAAAATTGCAAACACTTTAGGGTTGACTAAGTGGTGAGAGTGCTCCCAACCGAGTCAAGCTGAAGCACACAGAGAGATAAGAGTCATACTAAGCATTATATCCTTATAGATGAATTAATACTTCTTCAGAGTATTACTGTCTATAAAGCATTCATACTCGTACCCATGATTTTATCCATGTAGAAGTCTAACTAGTGTAAATTCTTTAAACTTAAACTATTGCCAGCGACTATCAAGTTTAAAGCGTGTACATTAGTGTAATCAAGTGCTCATCCATAAATTAGTGCCACTTTTATATCAGGAGTCAAGATGGAAAATATGTTTCATCACCTCTATGGTAACTATACTGCAACATGCTTGGTTCAACAGTGACCTTTCCCATTGATCTATTTTGTTTCCAGGGAAACTTGTACTCTCTATTCCACAGTACCAATGAACTTCTCTTTTATTTTCAGTGAAAATGACTGTAAACAACTAAGTTTATTGGTTAATAGCTTTCACTGACATTGAATAATGTAGAAAAAGTATATGGCCACTTATTATTGCAATATTCAGCAGTTACTGCAAATGTAGAATTCACCAAACTTCACTGTATTAATAAAATCAAACAACCCTCTTTCGAAGTAACACAGAAATAGGTGAAATAAGAGCATACAAACATTGAGAAAGGATATGAGAACATGATCTGCTTTTGAATTTTACAACTGATTGAACCATTCTGTAGCCCTCTAAGTTTTTCATGAGAATTGTAAACAGTATTGTGTTAACAGCTTCCTGTTTTGCATGAGCAAACAGATTGTACATGATTGCTTCAAAGGACCTTTCCTTGTTTGTGTTTTGCTTGCTTTGCCTACAGCAGGCAGACTCATCCTTTACATGCCACTGCGTATTGTAAAATGTTCCATCTATTTTTTCTCTTTTGATTATTCCAAAAGAAACACTAATCTGATGCTTTTAAAATCTGAAATCTTGCCAAATTTCAAGCATATACTTAAAATATACTGGGCATACAAATACTGTCATCACGACCTTGCGGAATGGCTTCGATGCTAACTTTGTTAATGGTATAAGAGATGCATGTATTCATAACTAAAGTTACAGTTCTGAAACCATATAATGGTATCCGATCAGCTCATATTATCACTACGTTTAGGAACATAAGAAGCCATGGAAGGTGAAGACAAATTCATCCCATCAAGCCTGTTCTCCCCACAGTCCACACAATCTACAATGGTTCCTGAATCCCAGCCTTCACTGAGTTGGCCGATTTCAGATGGGAACAGCAGCTGGGGCTCATTAATTGGCCTCAAACAGTCCTGGGGGGAAAATCTGTCAGGTTCCTGCTTCTCATTGATATTGTGGGAATGGAAAGTGCACATATGTGGAAATGGGATTTGAAAATGATTTTGCTGTGATGTCCTCTCTACCAACTGCACAGTCAAACTTAATAAATCTAATAATCTAACCGGGGCTTTCAGTCGTTCTGCCCCGACTCTCTGGAATTCCATCCGAAGTCCCTCCGACTCATTCACTCTCTCATCTTGTTCAAGGTTTATCTCAAGACCTATTTCTTTGACTGACTGTGTTTTTCTTTGCCTCCTTGGCTCTCACACCCCAGCTCGGGTACCAAGCCAGTCTTGTTAAATGCCTTGGCACATCCTCCCGACATGAAAGCTGCTACACAGATATCAGTTGGTGGAGCCCTGTAGCTCAGTGGTTAGAGCACTCGCCTCACAAGTGATGGATTCTGGGTTCGATTCCCAGGAGGGGTGAAACGTTGGGCAAGTTTCCTGACTCCACATGCCTCTGTTTATCCAGCAGTAAATGGAAACCTGTTTTTTAGTCGATTGGTGGATCGCTTTTCCGGGGATAATAATCTCTTCAAAGCATAAAAAAAATTTGGTCACTCAATCCATGACTGTTTGTGGGACACTGCTGTGAGCAATTAGCTGCTGAGTTTCGCCCACAGAATATACTGGCAATTCACTTTACAGTATATTCTGTGAAGCGCTTTGAGATGTCTTGAAGATGTGATAAGGGGCTATATCAACTGCAAGGAATATTATCATTATGTTCTTCTCTAACTCCCTGCTTTGTTCTTGCTGGAGACTGAGAGAAGCTTTGAAAGGGAGCAGCTAAACCCAGGGTCTGTTTTTAATGCAATTAGGTAGTTGTGTGACTGACTCTTTAACAGCATTAAAACGGTTGTCTTGGAAGTTCTACGGTGGTTCAAGGCTATTAAGGGGTAATTTGGGAGCTGAGATCAAATCAATTTGCGCAGTCTGTATTTTTAATGTAGTGGTGTGAATCAATGTCCTGCCGAAACTTTCTCCTCAAGGTGGTCCTGATAGCAAACTCCAAAGTGAATCACAGAATTTTAGTGTCACAGTATAAATGAAATACTACAGTACTTAATAGAAAGTCACCTGTTGAGATCTGCATATAGCTATCCTTAAGATGCTTAAGAAAATTTTGCAATAATTCCATAATAGCTAACTTCATAATTTATTGTAACTGCTTATGGTATGGTAGCTTTTAGATCCAGCCATTTCTGTTTGCATGGTTAGTAATCCAATATAAGCCAATAAGTCATCTTTGTTAATTACAGTCAAAAACAAATTAGAACATTAATAATTCTTACAAAATTACATGAATCTTAATTGTAACAGCTGATTGCTCAGTTGTTTAACCAGATTTACAGAGTTTAAAGTTTGATAGAAAGAAACACAGTTTTGTAGTCTCTATGTCTAGCACGTATCATGATGCCAATCACTTGAAATCAGGGCCGTAACAATGAATGTACTTTATGGGGATACACTTGACAGAACTGTCTGATGTCACATTCCAGGAAACTATTGTACAAAGAGATACAAGACACAATGTCTGGGGTGTTAGTACCTCTCAATCCAGCAGCATTAGCGACTCCAAATTGCTAATTGAGGGGATGAGAGAATGATATTTATCAATATTTCGAATGAAGCTTTATGCCTGTCATAAAGAGGTTTTCTGGAATGTGGCTCAAGTGGTTTATTTATACTATTTTTATCCCAAATGAACTGGAAGGTTTAACCCTCTGTACTGTAAATTTATAAAAGTATAAATGACACCTGATACGATACAGATTTTTGTGACTTTTAACAAGTGTGACTGATAACTGGGGGTAATGATAAGGTTTGCAGTATAAAATGTGAGTTGGGAATATATTCCAGAACGTGTGTCTGTGGAAACTAGTATACATTTGATATGACATCACATGTGGGTCTGGGTGTAATCAGAATTTGGGGAAGTACAGTAGACAATAATAATCCTTACATTAGATATAACATCAGGAAGATGACTCAAAGTGTTTCATAAGATACACTGTAAAGTGTAATTACTATGAATTTTGTAGTCAAGCATGGCAGCCAATTTGTGCACAGCAATGTCTCACAAGCAGCCATAGTCTCACACCATTTCGGTTTCATTCCATTCTCAGTACAATTGGAACCAGCATAAGATAATCTTTTAAAAGTTAAATAAATGTCATAATAGTGGTGAGGTGGAGAGAGCTCGGAGAGAATTTAATGTGGAGGCAGACATTGGAGTCAAAAGAAGGAAATTAGTTTTAAGTGAAGTGAACTATATATTAGGTTGTAGGTTTTCTTGGATCATTTATCATTTTGCTTTTCATTCTGAAGTTTTGAAAGTTTTAAAAGGTTCCTGACCAAATTGTGTTTGTGTTTCTAATGTTAGCAAAGAGCAAACAGGTCATTCTCCTCGTCAGGAACATTAAAATGTCACTGCTGATTACATATGGATGAGTGGAACCGTGTATATGTATGAGAGCATACAAATAGACTTGTATGAACCTATTATTAGAACCTCACTAGGCTCTAAAGCAGATAGTATAGTAGAGTGAAACTAGTACCTGTACGAAAGTAGCATTAGGCATCATAAAGCATATAATAACCAGCAGATAGGTCACGGAGTACATGGATTTACTAGACAAATGCAGCTTAATACGTATTGAAAGAAAATGCAATAAAAATGTGCCCAAAATGAGGGAGTATTAGTTAGAGGTGGAGAAGGAAAGCCATCGGGTCCGATTATAGATTTATTCACTGAAGATTTCCAGCCAATGTGAAGTTGTCGCCAACACAACTAAGCAAATACTGTATTAGGTTGCACCTCGAGGGCAAATACTATGCTATAAGCAGAAAGAAGTAGTCTTATCCTTGTAATAGATTGCTAGCAAGACGACTTCTGAAATATTAGCTCCAAATTTGGTACCATTTATTGCATGAATACAGCTTCCCACTCAATTGTTCTTCTACTGGAAGCAACGTTGTATTTGCCTTGTGGGTTTATAAACATTAATAAGAATAATGCATAATAATCTTTGTGTTTGATATATCACATATAACAGCAATACCTCACAAAGCACTTCACAGGTAATTACTGTCGTGTCAGTGACTGTGCATTTATAAGCAAGTACAGCAGTCAATTTACACTCAACCAAGTCCCACAAATTTTAATGAATAATTTATCTGGAGGATTATAATCCTTGCAATTTTGATATAGCATCCTATCACCTTGCCAAAATTCACAAAACGCTTCACTTGATTCACTGTAAAGTGTTGAGACTGTGCAAATGTAGCCAAACACAGCAGCCAATCTGCCAAACCGAAATGTCCCACAAACAGTCATGAAGTGAATGATCAATTTTATCTGGAGCATCAGAGGTGAGAGTGCTACCAACTAAGCCACATTGTTTACCTGTCGGACATCATTAGAAACTCCTATCTCTTTTCTAATAGTACCATGGGTTTTTTGATGTCAACGAGCAAATGGGACCTCAGTGTAACATCTCATCCAGAGGACAGTGAGCGCAAACTATATGGAAGGCTGAAGCTGATTAATGTCAATGAAATGGGCTGCAACAAAGATGCAAATGAGAAACTTTCCAATTTAGATGATGCACTTAGGCTGAGATCCTGCTAGAGGTTAGTCACTTAATAAGTAGATGATTCCAATGTTTTTGTGGAAACGAGGCAAGTTTTTACTTTTCCTCTGAAATCATCGCATAATGTTATCACCTCAGAACAGTTTTAAATTAAATGGGCTTTCTCAGTTAGCATGTTTTTGGGATCAGGCGAGCATCCAAACCAGACTGAAGGCCATAGTACACCATCTTCATGCTTCCCACTGCTTGTCCAGCTAGTACCACATGATCCTTTAGGGATTTAGTTTCCAGGTGTAACTGGAACTGAATGTCAATAATCTCTGCCCCCATTTGCCCTTCCAGGGCCTGCCTGTTGGATGGGCCATCAACAACAGACTACCAAGACCATCACAGAAGGTTGATCTGATTCCAAATTCTGTTGCCAAACATCTCACATGGAGCCAGCTCAGCTCTAAGAAGTCCCACTTACCTCAAAAGACTTTTATCGCATATCCCATAAAAATGATAATCACTAGTTGGCCATTTGAAATCCATCAAGTACAGGTTATAATAATAATAATATTCCTTGCATTTGATATAGCGCCTTATCACGTCTTCTAGACGTCTCAAAGAGCTTCACAGGATAGATTATAAAATGAATTGACTGTATATTTGTGGGCGAATTTGTGGGCAGTTAGACCCTTCATTAGATGGAGGTACCCAGAACTCCTACTGAGCTTCCTGGTGAGTAGCGTAGAGCAGCATGAATTGAATAAAAGCATTAGCACCATTGTCCTGCCCACAGGTTAAGCATATATAACCTACCCATTGAGCAATGGTGCCACCAGTTGATACTGCAGAGTTTGTGTAGCAGTGACTTACCTCTCTGCATATCAATCAAGGTGGATACCAACCGGATTTATGAAATTGTGTTCATGAAGCGAACCTACACTTCAGGTAATGCCTTCCAGCAGCTGTCAACCCAAGCCTCAGAGTTTCCTCATCAGCTATTCAACGGAATCTGCTTTCAACATGATACACAACTTGTGACACAGTTAATACGGACACTGAAGTTCAGCCACCAATATGAGGTTGATCATTTATCCTACATAAATAATAAAAAAAATTGTCTCTCTACCCTCCCCCACCAATGGCTCAGCAAATTTATTCAGTGAGTTTCTCAACCATAAGCATCAGGAATTCTTGCCAAAGGCCAGGAATTTATGAGCTTTTTGGTTTGGGACACAACAGCAATCATTTTGTTGACAAACAGCAAACAGTGAACAAATTACATTGCCCACCATTCACTGCTTCGCGGCCTTGAATTTGTACTCTGCATTTGACCTGAGAGTTCAATATTCCCTCCTCTGTAGTCTGGGACGTCCTGAACAAAGTTATTTCTCATTTATGTATTGACAGAATGGCTGACAGTGTATAGCTGTAATCACATGTGTATGCCAATATGTACGCAAGCAAAATGAGCAGCAATCAAACATTTTAATGGTGGTTGAGGCCAGGATACTGGACTCATTTGAAAAAAACAACTTGATGCTGTGGTGGGAGGATGCTTGTGTGGGTGTTCTGAAGGGATGAGATTGGACGGGCTGAGAGGTCTCTTTCATCTGATTTTCTCTTGTGATCTTGTGAATTGAATAAATTCAAATAAAATAAATTTTACAGAAGATTCCACCTTCTGCCTTCTTATTGGAGTTGAATTGTATATCAGCCTTGATCTAATAGAAGGTGGTACACGCTTGATGGGCTGAATGGCCTACTTCTGTTCCTACGTTCCAACGATATCTTATAGATTGGGTGAGGGGGCAATCAGTAGCCCCCTCCCTGGTACTTGAAATTCCGAGTCCCATTTTGTTCCTCCATTCAGTGAAAAACACCTCAAGTATAGCCAGTTAAAGCTTATAACTAGCAATCAGCCTAGATATGTAGAAAAATAACCAGATGGCAACCTCTTTCAAGAGTGGAGGTATTGCAATTGCCCCCCTGGAAGAAAAAAATCAGCCAGTGATCCAGAGTTAAGATCTGGCACATTTCTCTTCCATGAGGACTTTTGTAATATCTCCACTCGATCTTGCAGAGATCAGATAACATAGCACAGACAAGGGTTACCATCTGGCTGTTTTTCCACACATTGAGGCTGATGGATCACTATTCAGTGATAGCTTCTGCAAATACACAACTTTTGTGTTAAGAACAACATTTAGGTTGGTTAGTGTTGCTCAAAGGTGCAATAATCTGCCTTATCAGTCGAGTTTCACACATGTTTAAATAATAATAATAATAATAATAATCCTTGCATTTGGTATAGCGCTTTTCACGTCAGGAGGACGTCCCAAAGCGCTTCACAGAACACACTGTAAAGTGAATTGACTGTATATTTGTGGGTGAACGCGGCAGCCAATTGCGCACAGCAATGTCCCACAAACAGTCGTAGATTGAAAATGACCAATTTATTATTGTTTTTGGTTTTGGAGGGATTATTATTAGGCTCTGTGTGGAGTAAGGAAACTTGCCCAAGGTTTCCCTTGAGAGACTTACTTGAGGGTGCCTGGAAAAAGGAATGAAATGCTTTTAAGAAAGGAGAGGAGCAAACTGGTGACAAAAATGAGCAAAGAGGAGTAATACATAAACAATGGGTGTCCATCGGAGCATGTTAGCATACATTTTATAGAACCAATGTGTAGTGCATCTAAATAACTCACAAAAATAAGATAAGGACAGTATGGTATAAAAATGCATACCACCATATGTTATTTTACATTCTGTTTCTATTATAGATTTTTTTATATTCCAATTTCTTTCAACACTATTAACTTTTTCATATAGGGATTTACAATGTAAATGGTGGAATGGGGAGAGGTTAATTGGTGATTCAAGGATAAAGCAATTAATGCAGCTAATGCAGGAGCATTGCTGTGAGTCTGATCAGCCAAAGTCAAAGCTAACCTGTGATTGATCTAGTATAATTCCAAATCACAATAATATAAGTTTAAAATAAACCTATTCAAAATTTGAAATATATAAAGAAATCCTGGTTAACTAAAATCCTATTTTCTAAAAAAAAGTTCAGATTTAGCATTTGAAGCCTATATCTCTTATAGCAAAATTTAAAAATGTCACCAGCTTTTGCTTTAGCTTATTGCAAAATTAAACATTACAAGATACAGTATTTTATTCCACTGTTTTAGTTTATTCTAAGATACTATGAATTTTGCGAAATTTGTTGGTTCTGCAAACTTGCCAACAACCCTAAATAAGACTTTTTTTTACGATGAAATAAAAAGAAATAGAATTAAGAAAACTATTCAAAAAAGAAATGAAAGCTACCATTTAATCATCAGACTCAGCAATTTGGACCTTCAAATTATTTGCTCCACATCTGTCCAGATGATCAGGTCAATTAATCCAGGTATTAGTACCTCATTATATGTGGTCAGAAGTGCCCAAACTGAACAGATGTAGCACCCACATTATTTGGTGAAGTAAGGATGTTAAAGTTAACACTATCGCTCAATTCTCTCAATTCTAATTTCAGAATTCTTAGCAATCCCACAACAGCACTAATTATATTGCGCCATTGAATGCAAACTGCTATTAATGCCCATTTGAACACCATGCAGAATATAGCCTATTCTGTGCATTGTTGTCCATGAAACAATAATTTGCTTCCTCCTAACTTCTACATCCAAGCAAAAACAATGCTAGTTCCATGACCATTTGACCTCATTTTATAATTCCTCAATGGAAAAATCCTTATTTAAGAAAAACAAACTGCTGCATTTTAGAACGTACAGTAGTTAGATTTTTTCCAGTAAAATGAAGCCTATAGTAAATCTCTTATACCAAAATTAAAAACATCAGCAGCTTCTTTTGCTAGCTAGGACCCTGCATACATCACATAAATAAATTGAAACTGATTACGGATTTTCCAGTAGGTACCACAACAATGAAAACACAACTGCAGTGACTCAGGTAAGTGTTTCTGAACTACAGCATCCTGCTGAGACATGCCAGGGAAATACCCTGCAGTTGTTCTCAATGGAAGAGATACAGTATGGTTTTACACACAATTGATTTTCTAGAAAAAGAAATCATTAGACGCTGCACCTCTTATTCTATGTTCCACATTAACAAATGCCCTACAAGATCAAATTTAGTGTAAATGCTATTTTCGTATCATTATGATGGCTATAAAAGCAGTAGAAATGAGCCTACCTTTTGGAATTTTTTCAAAATAACACGCAGCATTCTCTCTTCCCCAAGGTCACAAATCCTCGAAATGTATAAATTACTGAATTGAAACCAAATGCTACGTTTAAACAGAAAAGCAAATAATAATAGCACAACTCACTTTAAAATGATTACATGGCCCGATTTTCACATTACCGATGCACATACTAATACTGTGCAGCAATCTGAACCAGTGTGCTGTTTACAAGCAGAGCCCAGTGATAGGATGCCTACAGTCTGCACCGTGTTATCACGATACAGTATTTGTCTTCACACACCAATACTCCCAGGAAAGAATTAAAAGCATCCACGTGACAAGCCAGACCTGCAACTTTCAGTACTGCTACACACGTCAGCAAAAAATGACCCCAGTGCAAAGACAGTATCACATATTATGCTGTTTTCTGGACATTCTGCAGGATATCAGCACAGCACATAATGCCGTATGTCTATGTGCTAATCATTCATAGTCTCACAGCATAAAACACAGATAATTTATTGACACTTATTGACACTGCCAAGGGCATTTGGACACACCACATTATAAAATGCATTTGTATCTATATTCGTCCTCAGTGAATGTAAGACAACAGTACAGATAACGTTGACTAAGAGGCATATTTGAGATCCTTTACAACTGAAAAACAAACTTAAATTCTTGACAAGGACAAGGGCTGAAGGTCATGTAGCTGTAGAGGTTAATAAGAAACTGCAACAGAAAGCTTTGCTCTGCAATAACATCCTTGACATTGAATACGGTATAAACAGCACCTACCATTACAGACATAAAGATCCAGTCAAAATTCCCATACAATGATTTGATTTGTCTGCTCCAGGCAAGTCCATTTATATCCCAATTGCAGTGTGACTGTCCAGGTATAGTATGTCAGGAGGAGGAATACAAGGTTCCAGTCAAATTCAGGAATCACATGACAAGCAGTACAAAACAAGCCACAATTAGTCATTAAAAAATCACGCCAATGTTTCTCAAGTTTAAAGAGAGGAAAGGTTTTCCTCCCTGGTTGCGGCAGGAATAGGCTGCAATCCCTGACTGATTCTGGTGTCAGTGACCAGCACGTACAAATCTGCAGACTGTGTTTCTACTGAGGCTGAATTGTACAGACTGGAAAGACTGCTTTTCAGACAACTGCAAGAAACTGCATGAAGAGTATTAGTATTCTTCATCAGTCACTGCAGTCAGCCAATCCAAACAGCTTGAGCTGTGTCAGCACAGCACCAACCAAAGGACTGACAGTACAGCATTGAACCAAGCACTTGTCACTGCTTACACGTACAATCAGATAAAGCCAATAGTCTTTAATCCTGGTTGACTGCACCATAGTAAATAATATACATTCACAATATACTGTTTCAGCGAGTAATCAGCTTGTAAACAATCTGCTGAAAATAGCTCTGTCTCCACCAATGGATGTTTGTTTCAGCAGTCACTCAAAGTGTTACTGAACCCTGCAACTATTGCACTTCTTCTACACCTGTTTATATTGCAAATTGTTTGTCTCACACAAGCAGTAAATTAAAAATTGCATCAATTAAAGTAACACTTTTTTTAAAAATAAAGGGATATATATATATGTATAGGAACATAGGAACAGGAGTGGTCCATTCAGCTCTTCAAGCCTGTTCTGCCGTTCCATAAGAACATAGCTGATCTGCACCTCAATTCCAATTACTTGCCCTTGCCCAATCTCCCTTGATACCCTGACCTAACAAAAATCCATCCACCTCAGGCTTGAAAATTTGAATGATTATAATAGGATCAAATAATACTGGAAAGGCAGACTCTGCCAAATTTAGAGATGCATTACAGAAATTAAGTGAGTTGTTTCCCCATTGGCATTTCGGGTAAAAGCACTGTAATATGCCAAACAGATTCGAAGGCTGTAGGTTTGATTCGCTGAGCACCAAGGAATAAGGAGAGCAAATTCAGCCACAATCGTCAACCCTTATTACAATCCAGCAAATCCTGCTGAAAGCTGCATGCATGCGGAGGCCATGTAAGGACTAGATCAGGTTTCATTGTTGTGCCCCCATAGACAGATACCTCGCTAACACTTACTGTCTAAGCTTGCACATGCATAAAAGCCAATTGGGCAAGAAACTGAAGGGCAACGTAGCTTTATAGAACAACACCAGCACTTCAAACAACGCATGGCTCACCCCAGCGCTGCATTGGAGTATCATATTAGACTATGTTGAAAAAAATATTTGGGTTACTCAATCCAAGACTGTTGTAGGGCACTGCACTGCGCAATTGGCTGCCGCAATTCACCCACTAAATACACAGTCACTCCATTTTACAGTCTATTCTGTAAAGCACTTTGAGACGCCTCAACAACGTGTTAAGGCACTATATCAAATGCAAGGATTATTATTATTAAGAGCATCTTGAATTTATGTATGCCCTCCATGCTCAATAGCCAAATATTAGCAAAGGAAAAAATGATTCTGAAGCCTTCAAGAGAAGGGAGCTAAATTGTCAGGAAGAGAATAAAAAGAAACTAAGTGATTTACAAAATAAGATTATTAGATATTATTTTATCATTTAATTGTTTAAATTATTGACTTCAAAGTTAGCGCACAAGAAAAAAAATGCTGCAATATTACCAAAATGCTTCAAAAAGTCAGGCTATTTCTTTTTTCTGTTATTGTACGAATACAATACAAAGCCATCGCACTGTCAATATATATTGCATTGTCACTCCACTTCACAGTAAATGCTGTGAAGCACTTTGAAACAACGTGAAAGACATATGCCAAATGCAAGGATTATTATTGTAAGTTTCCCGAGGTTTGGGTTTGGCTTCCAAACCCATCACATTGCCCAAAGTAGCACACAAGGCTAATTCTAGTGGGACATCTAAAAATCATGATCTGTAACTTAACACGGGGCTTTCTTTCCCCTTACACAAAGTTACTTTTTGTTCCTATTCCACAGGATGGGAAGTGGTCAGATGACAACTCGTTAGAAAGCAGACAAATTCAACACATAACAAGAATCCAAACAGGCTGCTACTTCAGGCTCCACATTTAATCCAGCACCTGAAGGCTGCATGAAGTGGAAATAATGTCATGGAAAATAATACACAAAGGTAAGAGACAAAACAATTGTTAAGCGCTCCGAGACACTACCCATATGAAGGGCGCTACATAAATGACATGCATGGAGTTCCAGAGTTTGAAGGGGTAGTGTCTGAAGGCCTGAGTTTGCTAAGCAGAGGGGATGAGCAGATGCGACAGGAAAGGGACAGAGATAGGGATAGAGGCAGATGATGTGGTGATGATGTACAGAAATGGTCATGATCATGAACCACATGGGAGGGAAGAAAGGGAACTGAGGATCGAACCAAATGCCACTGATTCAGTGACTTTACACAGGTGAGATCTACTTGGTCAAAGCATACATGATGTTGTGAGAGGCATTATTCTACAAAGATCACTAAAATTACAAACATTGACAACGTGACTTTTCAATACAAATTTCTAAACCTACTGGCTTCCCATTAGAGCATTAATTGCCTACATTAAATATGGTGTCAGAGTTAATGTAGGGAATTAGATTACCTTCTGTGAAAATAAATACTTCCTGGTGAGTGTTGTCTTTCATAACCCTCACCAATGCTGCTGCCTTGGAATATGTGAACATAAACCTTACTATCTTTATTCCATGAAGCATTTTATATCTCATCATAAAATCCCCATTGAATTTCATCTCTATCAGCCCAGGTGCATATTTTCAGACACTTTTTGTAAAATCTTGCCTACCTCCTGAGCCCACAATCTACTCTTAGCTTGGAGTCATCTGTGAATTGATTTAATTTGCACTGTGTCTGAGAATCTAGGTCATTTATATATAACATGAACAGGAGAGGTCACAGCACAGACTCCTGAGGCACCCATTGCTCTTCCTATTTCAACATAATACCTCTTACAATTAGCTTCTGCTTTTATCCCTTTTGACAGTTTTACAAACCTGCATTCATGCCTTACCTTTGATGCTCACTGATATTAATATGTAAAAGAGTCCTTTGGTGCAAATAAGTGTGATACTTTATTAAACTATGTCTGTTTGAATGGGTTATACTTAACTATTATTCTGCAAAAAAAATTCGAATCTCTCATTCTACTTGAGACTTTTAAATTTTAAACTTATATCCCATTAACCTCTCGTCCTGCTATCGCGATCAAACTCACATCTGGATCATCTAAACCACTCATCATTGTCAAGGCAAGAATCATCTCCCTCATTCTTTTTTCCAATGACAACATTTCAGTATTGTAAACTACGTCTCATAAATTACAATGCAAGTTACGCTTGTAAAGCGCCTTTCATCAGGAGGACATCCCAAAGCACTTGATGGTTCTGGATGTGCACATCAATCCATCAGCTCCATCTCTGAGTCCTCTGCACATGTTTTAATTGGTGCAAATCTGTGAATACTCTTTATCCTCCCCATTATATTCATAGGCCTTTTTGTATTTTTTTTAAACTGATGAATAATATTACTGACAATCTACGGTTATTTATGTCAATATATTTAATGTGCCCTGTTAGTAAAATAGAATTATTTCACTTATTTTGGTGCCTCAGAACATTTCACACAACACCACAAACTGTTTCAGAGGAAGTACAATTTTGAAATAAACAACAAATTACATTTGTACAGCGTCTTTCACGTTGGGAGGACGTCCCAAGGCGCTGGACAGTCAGTAATTTGGCCCCCAGCTGGGGGTTGGGATCAGTAGGGGCAGAGAGGGTAGGGGTAAGAAAGTAACCGAAGGCTCAGTCGAAAAGGAGGGTCTTGAGATGGGCCTTGAAGGAGGCAAGGGAGAGAGGGAGGTGGAGGGACTGTGGGATGGAGTTCCAAAGGGTGGGGGCAGAAAGGCTGAAGCAAGAATTAATTACACCTGTAATAAAAAGAGCAAACACCTAACTGATGTTATCAGTGCACCACAATTACATTCTAGACTAGTGAAATAACTTGACAACATAATCTTATGTTATCAATTATTTAGTAAAAGTTACACCTTCTAATCATTTTTTAAAAAAAAAATTGGTATCTCTCCTACCTGCAGATTCTTGACTGAGGGTTTCCTGACTGCTGCTGTCAGAAGGCACTGGAGTGATTGACAGTGACGCTGGGCAAGATACAGGGGCTGAAAGCTCGACATGAGGAACAAACATGGGCAGGCCAAAGCTTTTATACATATACTGCTGTTGATGAACAGGTAGTAGGCCATCTTGTGGATGTGACCAGCCAGAAAGGCCCATCGCAAGCTGTCCCCCAAGATCAAATCCTAGTTTAAAAAAAAAGAAATTGCAAATGTCATGAATTCCGTGAAAAT